ATGTCGAAGCCTGGGGGATCAAAGGTCAAAGGTCAACTGAGGTGAAAGAAGGCGGCGAACATCACTCCTTAACTTAAGTATAGGGCAGGGAAATGCAGAATTGCGGCCACAAATCTAAAACGGCTCGACGTAGCGCTCGTGCCGCGATAGTCGGTGGTGTATAGCATCAGTTGCGGTAGGAAAAACGCCACATCACTGTGCCCGAAATTTGGAGGTCACAGGCGTCAATGCGCGCACAGGGGCCAGAGTTTAGACATTTTCTTGAGGACTGGTATGGCTGTGGGTCGACGGTACAAGCGACTGAAAAAACTTTTTTGTTCAGCGGTGCACCTTAGCATTTTTAATGCCTTGTTATAATGATGGACCATGAAATATTGCGTTTCCACTGAACAATGGCGAAGAGTAAGTGTCGGTATAACCTTTTTTGACCCTCAAGGAGAGGCGTAAACATTGATGTATGGACTGCTTAACAAAGCGACCTGAACTGCCTTTTTTGCCTATTATCTATGGAGCCTATTATCCTGTGTCAATGTGGACGGGCTACAGTTTGCACAGCTGTTGTTAATATTGCCACAAGGCAAATGTTTGGTCTGAACAAGCGTTTAGCTCTCTTAAAATCATATCCATTTTCTAAAGCGGTCTCGTCATATAGCCACTCTGCCCCTGGCGCCTGACAGGCTGAAATGAGAATCAGTGTTATGATGCTCGCATGAGGCAAAGAACACGGCACGACTGTCATGATCCATAATTGGATTGCCATGCGCAACCTGCATTATGCACTCACATTGACACAGGTATAGTCTAATATAGCAAAAAGCAGTTTCATCCTTTGTTAACAGTCAACAAATCAATGTCTTAACCTCTCTTGAGGGTCACAAAAGGTTATTCCGACACTTACTCTTCCTATGTCATGGAAGAGTAATTTCATGGTCCTTTCAATAAACGCATAAAAATGCGGTTAGGTCACCGCTGTGAAACAAAAAAGATTTTTCAATCGCTCCGTGCAGACCATGTCCTCAGAGAAAATGTCTAAAATTGCCCTGTTGCCCATTGACCTGTGTGACCTCCCAATTTCGGCACAGGGCATGGGTTTTCCTACCATGATGCTATACACGCGGCTATCACGGCCTAGCGTCGAGCCGTTAGATTTGTTGCGCAATTGCTGCTTTCCTCCCTATACCTAGTTAAGGAGTAATGTTGCCCTTCTTTTTACACCTCTGCCTTTGACTTGACCCGTTCGACGATCCCAACTCGTTTTCGGATTACCCCCCACGTCCGAATATCGTGACCGTACGTCGAGGGTTAGATTTGTGTGGGCCCAGACTGGTTGACGGACGGAGGTCACGGCGCAGGCGATTCATGACGATTCTACAAGCTGATCTAGACTATTGTCAGATGAGCTTAAAAAGTGGCATAAATTTTTCAGAAAACGTTCACAGGCGCAGAGTCGCCCCTTCAAGGTTATTGAATTTTCACTCGGATAGCTAAAACTATGTACGATGTCTATGACAAGTGTAATAGATATTTATGGTGGTTCTTGCAACGGGTCCTCTGTATGTTGGCGTCCAGTCAGGCCGAAGCGACTCGTGTTTAGGATGGCCGCCACGTATTAACGTATCATGGCTTGAGCCAATTACATCGAGCTATCTCATTCCAGTGGCCTAACAGCAGAACCGGCCCCGCTGTGTGGTAGCACCCTGGAGACTCCGGAGATTCATGTATTTGGTTATCCGAACCGCGTGAACTTCGTTTCATAGTTTTTTCGTTCATACTGAGAAGTTTTAACACGAGTTAATTTTTATCAAACAACAAGGTGTGCACTAGAATTATCATAAGACAATTTATATATATAGTGTACAAAAGGTAGCAGCAGCAGTAGTACGTATACGTAGTAGCAGCAGCAGCAGTAGCACACGTACGTGTATACGTAGTAGCAGCAGCAGCAGCAGTAGCACACGTACGTGTATACGTAGTAGCAGCAGCAGCAGTAGCACACGTACGTGTATACGTAGTAAGTAGCAGCAGCAGCAGCAGTAGCAGTAGCCGTAGCAGTAGCAGTAGCAGTAGCAGTAGCAGCAGCAACACGAGGAGGTGTCCATACGCACGTGTAATAATTCTGTTTCAGCATTATGAGCAGGGACCGCCGCGATTCGTGACCGCTGCTTGTCACACACATCGGGTAACCAGTCTTGGACGAGAACCGCCCTGCACACACTTCACGTAAGTGCGTTCGCTCCACTAGGGCATAATAACATAATATGGTAATGATAAGGAACTAAGGGCGACTGCGCTATATGCAGCAGCCACCGTACGTAATGCTGAATGTGTTGATATAGGCCACTAACTCCCCACGATGACGGGTTGTGTCTGAGAAAAACGCAGAGAAATTAGAGTACGTAAGAGCCAATTAGGTCTGTATATCGTCTCATTTAGTCAGGCAGGTATATATAGTGTTATAATATATCGTATGAATTCGTACGGCGGCTGCCATTGTGGTTGCATAAGGGAATTTTCATGATATCGCCGCACAGACGATATTTTTTATAGTTATACTTGGTTTCATGCCGCAAAAATACGAATTCGTCATGGCACGGTACGTTATTGATATTGTTGCTACAGCGTATATATGTACGTATGTCATATGTGTTGATCAATGCATGCCTACTCGCGCGCGCGTATGCACTGCCGTGCGTGCGTGCATCTGTGTTTGGTGTGGACGCATATAAACGTGCAATGTACGATGGATGTGTGCAGTGCATCTATAATGAGGGTGATACTCCATTAGGAGTGTTCCCAACTTTAATGTCATTAATGGTCACATAGATATATACGGTCATGGTCATATATTAGTTTGTTTTTTAATGTCATTTAGGTTAGGGTTAGGGTTAGGGTTTATCAATCATTAATCATTAATCATTAATCATTAATGATATCAAAATTGGGAACACTCCTAATGGAGCGTTAGCCTATAATGACTTTGAATGGCGGCCAAACAGGGCGACGACCGCAGGGGTCCTTGCTGGTAAAGCTATAGCGTACAGTATGTATACGTATAGTTCTGGTCAAGGACGAAGAGAACGTGTGATGTACCGCACGAAGCAATCTTATCATAGCTTCCGGAGCTTACGTAGTCCTGTAACATGTCTTTTGCAAGTGTCACATGGATTAGTGCGTTGAGCTATACTGGTAGTTGTTTTAGCCATATAGTCTAGCTAGACAGAACGTCGCGCATATTGGGCGGCGGCATTAATGTTACAGGGAGTTGGATAAGCGGGTTCTAGGTTAGACAGTTTCTAGGGTGATTGTGAAATGAGGGGAACGGTTGGAACTGGACAGAACGGGTGACATGTGCGCTCAAGATGTAGGGAGTTTTGGGCGAATATATAGGGAGAGATGTAATAGGAGGGGGATTGGAGATTCGGGTTCTGGTGGCGAGAGGACGCGCACGCGCGACCGCGCGTGTGCGCGGGTCTTTGTCTGTGTGTAAGGAGATGTGATGTGTCTAAGATATTATAGATTGTACAGTTTACCACACAAGTTTGGATCTACTTCATCATTTCTACATCAACGCTCATTCCTGTTTACAGTCCAGCAACGGTATTAAATATGTCCTCGTTGTTTACATGAATGGTCGGTGTGTACAGATATATGACCTTTACCCCCCCCCCCCTAATGGAACAATTTTACTGCACGGGTGTCTACTTATATACGATGCAACAACACGTGTAATAATAAATAACATAGAGTGAGAGTATAGTAGCATCAAGTATTATAATCATTAGTGTAATGTGTGCAGCGTATAGTAATTACACTGTTATCCTGGTTCAATCCGCTCACCCCCCACCCCATCCTCTTCTTTCCCTCCCTTCGTCATTCTTCACTATCCACCTTTTCCATCTCTTATCTCTCGACGTCTATCCATGTCTCTCTCACACACTCACGCGTCAGCTGCCGCTGCGTTTCTGCAATGCCGCGAAGAGATGCGCGAATTATCGGGGAGGAAATCCGACCGACACTTACCGCGCGAACAGCACCGGCTTAACGCTCGACAGTCGCGTAGCTGGACAAAGCGACCGAACGTGCCTTATCTTGTCACTGCGCTGTCGCCGTCGACATTATTATTGTCGCTGTGCGATGTTGTTAGGAGATAAAGATGTTAGATGGCGGCGGCTATCAGCGAAGCAGAGGGAAGCTGTAGCTCCTGCTGCTGCTGCTGCTGCAGCTTTGTGTGTGTGTTCGCTCTACAGCTCGATGTAGTGACGATGTCGTGCGGCGGCGGCGGCGGCGAATCGATAAAGTCAATGTTTTGCGCCAGCGGCGGATTAAGTTATAGATGGATGCGGAGACAGGATTGAGTTGTGGAAGAATGTCGAGATAGGATTCAGTTGTGAAAGATACGGAGACAGGATTGAGTTATCAAGGGTGTAGAGGCAGGATTGAGTTATAGGAGGATGTCGAGATAGGATTGCTTTATAAAGGAAGCAGAGACAGCATTGAGTTATATGGAAGGATGTCGAGATAGCTAGGATTCAGTTGTGAAAGATACGGAGACAGGATAGAGTTATCACGGATGTGGAGATAGGATTCCGTTATAAAGAAAGCAGGGACAGCATTGGATTGTGGAAATTGTGAAGGCAGGGCTGAGTTATAAGGTATGTGGAAAAAAGGTTTTAGTTATAAAGTATGTGGAGACAGGTTGAGTTATAAAGGAAACAAGCAGGGACAGGATTAAGTTATGGAAGATGCTGGGACAAGAATGGGTAATGAAGGATGTAGAGACAGGATCCCCACCCCTAATAGACGTTAACCCTATCCTTAATAGACGTACATCATTCCTGTTGACAGTTCAATTTAGATCGGATATCGCATGAATTGTAATAAAATCCTCTTTAATACCCCTTCTAATAACCGTTTTTCAATAAACGTCCATCTTCTGCACGCGCATTTGTTTGCTAATATCCTCAAATAGTTATGGCAGACTAGACTAATTCATGACACGCGCAGAGAGAAATGCGAAGTGATGTCCGTTCAGCACTATAATGCTTAATTAATAATTTTTATGGGATTAGCAGGAATGGAAGAGAAGAAGGAGAGCAAGCCTGAGCAGCAGTTACTGCAACCAGGAGAGGTTATCAAGCCCTACGTCCCGGAGAATGTTGCCCGCGACATTGTCCAGCGGGTGTTCGGGTTGCAGGTCACGAAAATCAAGGTATGGCATGCTACATCGCAAATCTGTCGTTCGAATTAGTATTCTGTCTGTTGTTATGAATACTGTGCTGCTGGTGCGGTAACTAATTATAATTACACGTGCTGATCCGACTAACGAAGTTTGCTCGTTCAAATGTGGACGCATGAGGTTATAGTAAGGCTGAGAGGGTCTATGTCCTCCATGGTACTGCCGGAACGTACCCTGGGTACGGTCCGGTATACCGGAACGTACCCTGGTACTATCAGGAGCTAATAATGACAAATATGACAAATTTGACAATTTGTCATTATTAGCTCCTGGTACTATCTAATATGCCGGACCGTACCTCGCCTACTCCACTAACGAGTCTAGGGAGTCGCCTACGCCTACTCCCTAACCCTAACCTTAACTCTAACCCTAACCTTAACTCTAACCCTAACCCTAACCCTAACCCTAACTATATCAAATAGCTACTAGGGTACGTTCCGGTATACCGGATCGTATCCAGGGTACGTTCCGGCAGTACCCTGGGGGACATAGACCCTATGAGCTATAGTAAGACATGCGTGCAGCTTCGTGCGTGTGTTATAAGCATCCAGAACCTGTGTGTTTGTGTGTGGCGGGAGTAACATAAAGGCGGGCAGTAACTCTGCATCTCTGTGTATATATTGACCTGCATCGCAAACATTAATGATGAAGGTTCGTGCGCGCGCGTCCGCGTTGCTTGCGTTTACTCTCTCGCGCGCGATCTCGCTCTATCTCTCTCTCTCTCTCTGTCTGCCTTTCTCGTTCTCTCTCGCTCTGTGTGTGTGTATGTGTGCGTGCGTGCGTGTGTGT